GTCATGCCCCCTAACATCTCTAATGTTAACCATCAGTATATTGAGGGTGAGAAGTGAATGTAACGGGTATAAAAGCCTTATAGCTTTGCTGTTCATGATTGTATAGAAGAGCACTATCATTCATTCTAATGAACGAAGAAGTGGCTATTACTATAGGATGTAAGTGTGGGAAAGAAATCTTTCTTCAAAAAGAAAAGCATCTCATTTAATGTATAGGCATTTTTTGCCTCTTTTATTTTGCTGGGCCATGTCTTAAGTTTACTGGCACTTTTGTTTTGGATCTCTTTCCCCAAGTTGCTGTATAACTGTATGAAGGTATTCTTTTGAATTGGATGCATTTATACAGATGAGGCAGACCTGGAGTCTGAAGTTGCTAAAGCAGCTCAAAGGTAAAATAATAGCTGCAGAAATAATGTTGGTAGAGGATTATTTTTTCTTGAGAGTTGAGACTTGTAAACTTGCAGGTAAACTGTGCAGGAAATACTGGTTTCTAAAACATTTCTTACAGAAAACCCGTTGAGGTTTTTTTTTCTTTCTTTCTTTTGGAATAGACATTATAAACCAATGTAAAATAGTGTTTGGAGTGTCAAAAGTTGGTTCTGACAGAATATTTTAAGATTGTGCAATGATAAAAGGAAGACTACTGTATAGTTTTGATGACAAAGAAGGCTCTGCTTAAGGGTTGAGTACTTTACTGGAGTAAAACTGTATAAGCCTACTCCTTTTGGATAAAACTAGTGCTTACCTGTTTAAAACTTGTATTTAGCTTTTGTTTGGAATTGGAAAAAATTGGAAATTAAATAAATTAGGTAAAAGATGTCTGGTTTTATTCATGGAAATCCTATTAATTGAATCTTAGTAGTGTTTTGCATCTTAAGAGTGTCACCCACTACAAACACTGAAAATATACAGACTGTAAAATGTTAAGATCAGTGGCAGAAGTGTTCTTGCAAATGTTGGCCATATGTTTTGAAAAGTACTGGGCAGAAATAATGGCATTACTAGTATCTTACTGTATTGGTACATAAATATTTTTACTTCCAAGGCTGTAAGTTCCTACAGGTTAATATGAAACACTCTACAAAAACACCACCTGAAAGCTCCAACTTCACTTTCATAGTTGCCTTAAGTTACAAAGAAATACCTTGAAAGCACTGCTCTCCAGAATGCTAAGACTTTTAAAAATATTTAGTAACCACTATACCTGCTAATAGTGCTGAAAATTTCTCAGCTTTAAGTGCCTCTTCTTTGAATGATCTGTAAGACAAATACAAAATGTCCACACAAAGCTTGAGCTAAGGTAGGGTAGCATCTGGAACATTTAAGTTTCTAGAATTTAGAATTTGCTTCATAAGTGCCATCCTTTGTTTTTAATTTGTCATTTTGGACATGATTGCACACAGAATAGGGTTGTAGTTATCTTGGTTAGCAAACAAATGACAGTTCTTGCATTAGATATTTTGGTTTTCTTCGATCTAGTTTCTCTTAGAAGAAGCCTCAAGATGTTGACCTAAGTGGCTGTATACAGTGCTTTCCAAGTGTCAGCAATCCATATGGATTTTAACTTCATTCTCTGTATTACAGGAACCACCAGTTCCATTTAATTCCTTTTTTAGTTCTGTACAGGGTGTGTAAGACAGGCTGCTCATTTGTTCCTCGTGACAAACCATACCATGCTTCTTTGGGAGAGCACAGGATTAGAGAAAACAAAAAAATTGGAAAACTAATTTTGTTAAATGTGGTCTATGCTATCCAGCTAGCAAACTTTATGCTTTCGTTGTGCTATCAGAGTGCGTTGAGAACCATCTGCATTGTCTTAAGTAGTGGGGAAAAAAAGGTTAGGGTCCAGCAGGTTTCAGAGCATGAGAATATTGGGGAATATGTGAGTTTTTTCTTGTATCATTTGGCATCTTTGAAGAGTTTCTCTCCCTTTAAACAGGTCAGCTTTTGAGGGAAGAGATTCACTTCTTGTTCCATTCTTTCTCAATGGAACTTGCAGTTTAATCTCAAAATATTTTTCTGTTAAGTTACTTTAGCAAAATGCCCTTCAGAAGTGAATGGAAAAAGTTTGTAACATCTAGCTTTTGGTTTCAGGCCTTCTTTATATAAGCTTAATGGCTTTTTGGTAGTCTTTTTTCAAAATGTATGTAGGTTTTATCTCACAAAAACTAATTTTCCCAAGCACAGTTTGTGATGGTGTGCACCTCATTTTTGGAGCTGTTTGTAAATACAGAAAGGCTCTCTTATAAGAATTTTAGTTACAGCCTACTGTCAAATGCTTGTGTGTCTCCCTTGGACATATTAATACCAAGAATTGAAATATACTCAATATTGCACCTGAATATGGGAATTTAACTGGGCTGTTCCTTAAGAATTTGTCATGAGATCTTGGTAAGTGCCAAGGGGACAGGGATAAAATTAGTAGACAGAAGGCCATTAAATGTTAAATACATCTCTATGAATTGGCTGGTGAAGGGAAGCTTGCTTCAGATGCTTCCTGGGCGATGAGAAGCTTCTTAAATGTTATAGTCTGTACATGACTATGAGGCTTCTCTTCCCAAGCTTCTTCTGCTATGCAAGAGTTACCAAAATATGGCAAGATGGACAGAACTGCTGTACAAGTACTGCCAAAATGCAGCAGGCCAGTAGTTAGTTGGCAGTTGATGCCCTTTGTCATGTCTCTCTCAAAAGTATAAATTCCCTCTCAAAAGCTATATTATAGCTTTAATGTTATTTTATAAACATGGAGATTGATGTTATGTGTTATATCAGGTAGTAGAAACACTGGGGTTAGTGCTCTCTTAAAGGAAAAAAGTTGATTGCTTGATTGGTTACTAATCTCTGAGCATTTAAAATTTTTAGATCAAAGGTACCGATCTTCCACTGCAAGTCTATTTTTTTCATTCCAAAATGTTAAGTCTGTTAGAAAAACAGCAGGTGGAAAGATGAAAATTTGAATTTATAAAATGCCCTAGACTTTCCAAATTTGGTATTTCCAAAAAATCTATTTGATTGTACTTTGCTGATGATCAGCCTGCACTACACTAAGTGGCTGTGGTCCTTGGGAATAACCACATCTTTTCCTTGACACGTAAGGTGCAATGGATTAGTTTTGGAATTTACAGCGTCACACAAATGCCATAAACGCTTTGCCTTGCACATACTTGCGCAGCTTGTGAGCTCTGCAGGCATCCTTCCCTTCCCACCCCCTGCTCTGCTGCCAGGAGAACACTGCACTTGTCTGCTGAGTCATTTAGGTTATGTGCAGTTACTGAACACCAGCTTATGTTGAATCAGGACCTGGGCGGCTGAACAGTGAGAAGAGTCACTGAAGGGTTTTTTGCCTCTTAATAATGAGATTAGTCTAATGGACTGTTGGAGGCTTCATTTAATAATTGCATTGATGTTACTGCCATTGAGCATGATAGTTGAAGGCAAGAATGAGTAGAGTACATTTACATTCACTAAGCAGATAGACATGCCATGTGAGTTTACTTAATTGCTATTTACTTTTATTAGCCTGGAAAATCATCTCAGATTTTCCATTTTGCATTTATTGCAGCACTAAATTCACAAGCTGTGTAAGCTTACAGATTCTGGAACAGCTTTCTGGAGTGAAGCAATGAGACAAAACATTATTAAAACCCTCCAGGTCTGCAGCAGTAGGTGCTGCTTTCTGCTTTGTGCACCGCAGCTGGGAGTGAGCTCATGAGGCTCACTGGGTAGTGCAGATGCTGTAGAGGGAGAGCTGTGTCAGCTCTACAGGTTAACTGAGCTAAGTGTAATTTCTCTTCTGCTTGGCTGACTCAAATGCTTTTTAGGGCTGAAGATATCCGTGGCCTACTTCTGCTTGGAAAGGATTTACATATGGAAAGGTCCCTTAATTTAAGCACAATTACTGTATGCTAGAGCACCCACTAAAAAAATTGCTCTTCTGGACTCCTGAAACCTATTTAGGCAGCTACTGCTTTTAAGCAAAAGAAATCAAATCAAAGATCCATAATTCCACTAGTGTTACAAGCCCCAGGTACTGCCTTAATAAACAAAAATAGGGGTCTTTTTCTTTTTTTTTTTTTTTTTTTTTTTTTTTGGTTGAGTTCATTTATTTTTGTTTTTTTTTTTTTCCTGAAGAATAGCAAATGTGTCTTGTTTGATAAAAGCTGGCAGGTAATTTATTCTCTTTTAAGCAAGAACTGTATAACTGTAGATGCTGCTGTGTCCCACAGCCGTGGCAGCTGGGGATCCTGGTCTGGTGGTAGCAGTGGTTCAGTGAATACACTGCAGAATCATGAAGGTGATAACTGTCATCATGTTGGCCCTGAACTCAAGTAGCAAAATAGGCATATAAGTGGGGTTTTTTTCACTCCTGGGGACAATGAGGTAAGGAGAGGTTTGGGGGGTTCTGGCTAAATGTTTTTTTTTTTTGCAGTTGGAAATTCTTAAATTGTGAATGATATAATGCAGTGGGAAATTCTTCTATATGCCCTGGCAGTGGCTCAGAGCCAGTCAATGAAGCTGAAGAGATTTCAACTGCTGTTCAGAACAGTTACTTAACAGCCTAATTCACCTCACATCCCTGCCCTCCCTGCCTCATCCCTGTTAGGTGGTGGTTTGTGAATTTGAGAATTGTAAACCAGCAGCTCAGCCTTGAGAATCCTGTGATGGGTGGCTTGACCTAAAAGACTTAGGAGGAATTCTGATAGTCCAACACTTGTTTCAGCAGTGACACCCTTCCTAACCTACTCCCTAGTTTATCACTGACATCTTCCCAAGAGTTGGAATCCTTAATGACTAAACCCCTGCTCACTGCAATCTGTGATCTGTATCTGCCCCGATTAGCATCTGTACCCCTAGTTTCAAATGCCAGTAGGAACAAGTCTGCTCTGATTCCTTATTTTCTCAAGGCATCTGTAAAGCACAGCTGTACATGTGCAAGCCCGTGGGTGTCAGTCTGAATGCATTTGTGCAATAGCAAGGATGTGAAACCAGCATGAAACACTTGGCTGGACACGATACTGCATGAAGTGGGAAGCTGAAGGTATTTTCACAGAGAGAGACAAACTGTTCCTCAACACTTCATACCACATATGTGGCCTCTGTAAGAACAGACATCTAGACATAAGTATAATTTGGGTGTTTGGTATATTTAAAAGAAAAACCCCAAAACACAACAAACTGCAATATGGGAGGGCTGGTCTCATTTTTAGCTGTTAAGATACGGAACTTGCAGTTGTCTGTCAGTTACTGGATATATAATCTGGTATACTACTAAAACTCACAAGATGAGCTCATGAAATCACTATTTGCTTGCTTGTAAGGGAATTATGCCTGAAATCTGCAGTGATGTAACCAGGTCAACCCCACAGGAGGTTTGTTCTGATGCCAGGTGGAGCCATGTACCACTTGTCCTTATTACGGTAATTTGTTTCCATTACTTTAAGATTCAGCTACGGTAAGATACAGATTTTTCAACATGTAGGTTAGAGTGAAATCAGTAAAGAACACTTCCAAGTATTAAGTCTGATGCTTGACAGTTTGCTTTCAAAGCTAGGCAAGCTCAATGCTGTCAATTCCTTCTAAGATCATCTCTGTGCCCGAGTTCAGCTGTGAAATAAAATTACGAGGTTAACATACTGCTGCTGGTGATGGATAACAGACAAGGTTGTCTTAAAATAATCCATTTAATTAACTGCTTCTGAAATAACTGGCCTGCATATTAACGATGTCCCTCTTATTAATTAGGCAGTACTAAAATACTGTGTTGAATAGTCTATTGTAAGGGAGAAGAGAATTCACTTGTTATTTCAGGAAGGTTTATTTCTGTTTCCCTCTCAGCCTGAAACAGTCCTTGCCAGGCTTGAATAGGAACAGGAGGATACTGCTGTTTCCGTGTTGAGGTTTGCCACTCTCAACTGGCCCTAGACGCTTTTCAGTTGTAATTATGGAGATAGGATGAATGCTAAGTGATAGAATGGGACCACTTAACTGTGATAGGTTCCTGAGGCAGCCAGCACTGATTGAGGGAAGTCGTGTTAAGTTGCAGTGGGACAGTTACACAAGGACAGAGTGGCCCCAGCACATACAGCTAAGAGTGTTGAGAAAATATGTTTGAGAGCATGATGTTGAGAGTGTTCTCAATATTTTGGCACATATTGAATTTGGCACCTCCTTCATTCTCACACTCTGCCTTTTATTTCAGGTAAGAGTCAAAATCACTCTTGTGTTCAGTGACGGGAATGGGTTTATAGCAATTGGAGGGGAGCAGTTTTAACTATCTTCTTGGATTCTACTACATAAGTTACCCACCTAAGAAAACTGGTAAACTTAAGAATGAGAAAAAAGATAACTGGAGATGCCAGAACATGTTAATAGGAAGATAACCAGAGCAGCAATCACCAAAGTCCGTAAGTACATCCATTTGCTTCAATGGATCCCCTCTGCTCATCCAAGTAATTACAGAGGAACTGGAGATGCTTAAGACTCCTAACAGTGCTCCAGGCTGAGGGAGCTGTGACATAAGAATTTCATGCAGTACAGCATCTAGTTCTGATGAGCAAAGATTTAAAACAAAAAAGGTTACTGCTGTAGTATGCACCTTTGCAGAACTGTTTCATCAAAGCATTGTTTCTTTAAATGGGATTCAGGGATAATTTCTGAGTATGAGTGAGTGCAAGTACTGGGGGAAAATCAATCATGAATGTACTGCTAAAGAGAGGATGCTACTATTAAAAGTTCAACTAGCCACAGGCATGTAAGCCCTGTATGCTTCTGAGGCAGCCCCAGAGAAAAAGCTTTTCTGAGAATGTATGTATCATGAAAAAGTGTTCTAAACTTGCAGCAAAAATACATGCTGGTAGCCTGAGCCCACTGTAGGTATTCTTTTAGAGAACTTCCACTGAAGGGTTAGTTATCCACTTATATTAGTTATTTAAAAGTCATTTTGGAAAGATTAATAACACATAAGTAAACTTGTACAAGTTTGTATTGAAAATCAGTCTGCATGAACAGGTCACCTAATTAATTGAAAATTACTTCTTTAGGTTTAGGAATGCACAGAAGAAAACCCTAACTGCTCATCACAAAAGCCAAATGACTGAAGACAATGACTCAACTTCCACAACAAAAAGGACTTACACTTGCCCTTTACTAGCGTAGATCAGCTTTTTGCTAGAGGAGAAAAACATGCACTGCATATATAGCATTGCTGTTCTTATTACAGCTTGATAACCCTTCCATGGATCATTTGTCAAGAGTTTAAAGAAAGCAGTTAAGCCGTCCACAACAGTGCAAGAGGAGACCAGGCTTCACCTGATGCACAGCAGCTTAACTCGACCACATTGAACCCAGGTCAGATAATCTACAGCATTAGCCTGAATGAAAGCTCACCAAAATTATTTTTCACATCTGTAACATGCAGCTGATGGATTTTAAACAAATATAACCACCTCAGCTAGGGAGAGGTGAAAAGCCACATGATATAACTGTATTTTCATGTTCCAGGATCAGAAGGAGATGATGACATCTTGGGTGAATTTGTGTATAAGGGTTCCATCACACCCCCTCTCAACTACTCCATGCTGACAAGCCTTTACTTAGTGCAGAGAGGCTACAAAACTATGAAAAAAATTTAAAAAGGTAGTTTCAGAAAGCTTTATTGAATACTTCTTAGTTTATTACAGAACCAGTAAATTACATTTTGCATTAGCCTGCTTTGCACTTTCCAACCAGTTCTGGACGATGTTACAGGAACTCTGTACTACCATACCCAGGAACAAGTACAGTTTGGAAGGACTTCTAGTGGTGTTAGAGTGTGACTGTGACAGGCCTGAAGACAGGCTTACTTTGTCACATGACACTACAGGTAGAGAAAGCAGATCTCTTAAAATGCTGTCATGCTGGTTAACCATATGGCTTGTCCAAAGGCTCTTCCCTTCTGCTGTCTTCACCAAAAAAAAGCCAGGTGCCTCCCTATGTTGTTGCACTCTGTTGTTCATCCCAAACCCAGGGTTGTTGCAATTCTGGTGGTAATTAAGAAATCTATTTGTTTATTATAGAAGTGAGACAAATTCACTTGATAGAGACTATCACAATTTTGTGCAGATGATTTTGTGTAAGTGAGAAAATAATTCTGAATGGGATTCTGAAGTCCAACACTATTATTTAGAATACTGTTTCTTATTAATTTCCTATGAACTTTGTATGTCTGCCTTGTGCAATTAACTTTCCTGTAGCCTTATTTGTTAAATCCACAGTGGCAAATGCGAGAGTTTTTCCTTGCTTCAAAATCTGAGCTGTAATCAGTATGTCTTCTCCAATCTTAGCAGCAGAAGTGTATCTTCAAGGAAGAAAAAAGGAACAGGTAAGCAACTCTACAGAGGATAAACCAAATAATATTCCTGCATTTTATAGCATCATGAAGGAATTAGCATAAGTGGGTAATAAAGCCACATCTCTATATGCCTGCCTACTTGCAAACCCCCACTTATGGATTTGAGCTCCTCTAACTGCTGGCAGCGGTAAGTAAGTGTAAGAGTCCTCTGAGAAAATGGAGGCTAGAAAGAAACCCATTGGCTTGGTTCTGAGGAAAAGTTTGTTTTGGAACAGAAACAATAAGGTATCCAAGACTTCAGTAAAAGTTCAGCTCCAAGTCCTATTCCAACTACTGCTGGCTTCCTACAGCCTTTCAAAACTAGTCTGGCTGCTTCAGCTGTAAAATGTCACTGTCACAAAGGCTTCAGAAGGTCACTTCTGTATGGAACTTAGCATAGGTTAACTGTTCCCACACCCTGGTTAGAGGAAAGTAATGGAAATATGGGCAGCCCTTAAATGTTGTTTCCATTCATTAGACAAAGCTTTGTTTTTATTTACGTGAGCAGAAGGGTGTGCTTTTAAAACACACTCTTTGGGGAATAGGAAGAAATTTCTGCACAAGCTGGGAAGAATTAGGAGGAACATGATTCAACCATGATCTGAGGTAAGGGAACAATATTCAAAAATAAACAATATTCAAAGCTGCAGAGGAAAATTAAGAATTGCTGGATGTTAATCTTGTTGAGATAAATTTCATCAACTAGTCCATTTTTATACACAACGCCATGTCACAAGAATGTCAGTCACGCCTAACGCTGATGTAGCACCAGCTTTATTGCTTGACAAGGGCAGGATTTCAGCCTTGTCTCATTCCCAGAAGCTGCTGCCGATCCTCTTGTGGTTACCAAAAAAAAAAATTCTGTTTCTCTCTGTTCTTTCCATTACTGAAATAGCTTCCTCATGACAACTTTTTAAAAAGCTCCTTCCCAAAAAGGAAGAAAGTTCTTGCAACAATATTTGATATCCAATCTCACTTGTTCAATGAATGCAGTAGTCCAAGTTAAAAAAAAAAAAAATTAATATTGCTTAATGTAACATTGCCTATAGGTGATTTTGGATCTCCTCCAGAGACAGCACTTTCTTCAGATTTCAGCCCTTATGTAATTGGGTGAACATAACTGATAGTGTCAATAATTCAGATGTTGGCCTCTTGTTATACTACTGCAGGAAAAAACCCATAATAACAGGAGAATTTTAGGTTTTAATTTCCAGTAAGATCCTAATCATCGCAGTGGTAGCATGAAGCTTAAATAGATGCTTAATCTCCCATCTACCTAGTGGAGAAATCAGAAGGTGCTGGGAGAGAAAGGAGGAAACCTGGTAAAGATACAGATTACTCCCCACACGCTTGGTCAAGCTTTTTTTTTTTTAAGGCAGTTTTGATGAGGGGTTACTTTTCTAACATTTTTAATGCTCTGTGCTAGTTATTCCAAGTAGGATTACTTTAGTTCCAGTTGGTCATAATCTCTTCATTAAAAGTAACGAAGCAAAGCTGACAAGCTACAATAGCATGATCAAAGAAATTTTCAGATCAATTGGTTTTTTAAGATACCGTGCTTTGAATTTTCATTACAGTAAGAATTATTCTCAATATAAAACTACCTCAAAATAACCTAGAGCTGAGGATTTGTCTTCCACTGAGAAATTCTGATTCAATCTGTAATTCACCCTCTCTACACACACAGAGGTAAACTCTTTCCTGCTTTAATATTTTTCTCTTGTTTATGGAATAATACTAAAAAGAGGGTTCATAGAAAGCTGCTTACTTGAGGAGACATTAACATACCTGCACAAGGAAAAACTGAAACCAAACCTATTTCTTAGGAGTAAAATTGTTGACATATCAACATCCCTTTACATTGTATGAAGGAATGGGCACTGTCTCATCAATACATGTAACAAATAAAAGCTTAAGAAGGTCCAACTCAAAATTTGAAACCAAATGGCAGTCTCCAAAAATACACATGCAACTGCTTTAATTTATCAAAACAGGACTTCTGAAACCAAAGAAAACACCAATTTTTAGTGAGTGCCACAGCACAGATAAGATGTCAAATGGAGTCAATAGAGGAAGAAATGTCTTTGGTAACCATAGTGGATGATACCTACGTGATGTTCATGTCCACACTGACCCCAGGCACTGCTCTTTCTGTGTACAGCAATGCTGCTGTTGACACCACATCCACAAGGGTGGCTGTCAAACCTCCGTGTAACGTGCCACCTCTGTTTGTATGCTCCTCCTCTACTTTCATTTCACAAACAACTTTTCCAGGAGTTGCAGATTGAAGTTTCATCTGTATAACCAAAAAAAGGAATAAAATGTTTAGTGACAGCAGTACCAACAACTAATATTGCCCTCAATCAAACTGTAAGTAAATTTTTTCTGACTCTGGACTCATGAGACAAATTAAAATATGGAAAAGAGAGTAATTCAACTCTCCCATTAGATATTTCCATTAATTTTGAGCAGAAGACTGTTGCTTTAGAAAAATGTTTACTTCTAATGCAGACAAATATTTAAACTGACATCTTAACAGAACTTCAATATGTGCTATGCTGTCAGGAATTCCTTAGGAGAAAACTGTCTTCAGTTTTCTTTTTGCTTTAAGCCGTGAGTAAAAGACCAGATTAGAGGGAACACAAAACTGCTCTAAGCATCTGTGTGTACCATAGTTGTGAAGGCATATTTGTTAGCTCACAAAATGGAAATGATACCACCAGTAATTCATTAATCATTATATAAGAGCAACCTCAATAAAAATCAGTATTTTGAAATGAGCATTGGAAATGCTAATAGATTGGCCTCTCTGATGGGAAATTCATATTAATGAGTAGAAGTATCCAAGGCTGTATCACACTGTTACAGCATCATTATTTGCATATACACTTTTATTCCAGCCCACTGGTGGTAAATCCAGAATTACAGCTCACCTATGATACCATGTTTCCCCCTGTAGCCAACACAATAAGCTGGAATTTTGAGACCAAGAAGTTACTGCAATTCAGTATTTGAAAATCTCTATTTAAATTTCTTCAGTTAGTAGCACTATATTCAAAACCTGAAAGCAGAGGCAAAACTGGGATGAATTCCACATATATTTACATGTATAACTAAGACTTTTAAGTGCCTTTAGACTATTAAAAATTAAATGTGGACATATTTATTATATTTATTCCTACTAATTTTCAGGTTTTTTACAAGGGCTTTTTTAAACTTGAATGTTTCCATTCTGTTACCAGCTGAGTTAAATATTTTTTCATCTTAAAAGGTATTAAGATTGAAATGTTTCCAGTTTCATTGTTTTCCTTATTTATAATGCAATGTAAGAGCTGAGTTTCACCCTTTCTGATAAACCAAAGTTTATCCAAATTCTGCAAACAAATGATAAAAAGATCAGTGATGATGTAGTACAGTCTTTTAATGGAAAAAAACTGGTATTAAACAGAGAGGAAACTACTGAGGCAGTGTCCAAATATAGAAATAGCACCTGTATCAATGAAACCCCCAATGAAATCCTAAATCAGGCATGCTGCACTGCACTGGAGGCCTGAGCTTCTGACAGAATTTCTAAGAAGCACTTTACTGATGTTCAACACTGGGAGCAGATTGCTTCCATTCCTGTCAGGCTCCACCCCACCAGCGAGGCAAGGAAAGCATCTGGTGCCATTTGTCATTGCTCTGATCTGGCACTACATGCCTGCTCTCCTTGATGAAAATAGTTCAGTACTTGAATGCTTCCAGGACCTACTCAGCTAGAGCTGCTAGTCTGTGCTTCTCCCAGCCCTGCTGTGCTTGTCCTCCCACGTGTCTGCCTTGGGGAACAGCTTCAGCTTCCAGGCTTTAAACACAGGCATTAAACCCTGGGTCGATACCACATTGGAGTTACACCAGAAACTAAGTGTGAGGCTGGAGATGAAAAGTTTCAGACTAAAATGCATCTTCTCCAGTATAAGAAAAACCTTGAGTCATTTAATTATGGTAAGAGAGTTCAGGTATCTCCCAGAAAAGCAGCAGTTACTTTTAATTCAAACACAACTGTATGTTTATTTTTATTATGATCAGATTCCTAACATCCTAATTCTAGAAGGTTGTAGGAAAAATCTGAATGTATTCCAGAGCCAGACTGGAAGCCTGTCTCCCAAGGCTCACTTCTAGCCAGTTACCTTTACAAGCTGAAATGCTAATATTTGCTCACCATTTATCAGGATTTAAAAGGAACATAAAGTTATCACAGTGAAGTGGTGACTAAGAACTATATGGACTCTATAAATATATAAACTATCTTCTTAAAGCTTTATACATTTTAAAAAAACTTTATACTCACCAACATATCTTGGAAAAACAAGACTGTAAGAATTACTTTGCAAAAAGTTGATTTCTATTAAATGTAACAGATCTTGGAGCTGTCAACAAAAAGCACTGCTTTCAATATAACATTTGCGTAAAGCATATCAATTTTTACATGGCTTATTTTCTTAGATATATTTACTCCATCACTCCATGTCACAGTTACACAAACACATAAAAATTAAAGTGAAAATTTAATGAGAACACTGAAACGTTTTCTAGAACAAGAACTTTCCTACACAGCACCTATGCTATTGCATACTATACAGGTTGCAGTGTAAATTAAAAGTAGCTTCAA